CAATCTTCTACTGTCTTCCATAAAGTAGGAAATGATGTTATCATCAAAGTAATAGCTGACATTCAAAAAAAAAATTTTAACCAAAGACCTTCAACGACAGATGAAGATGACATGTTTCTAGCAGACCTACAGCATTGTCAAAATGAAGAAGCATCTATAATCTCAAATATGTCAATAAAAGAACAGCTGCAGAAAAAGATAGATGATGAAATGGGTGCAGGGCCTTCTACGTCCATAGCAACTTGCGGAGATAATCTGGAAACATCAATAAGAATGCAAATGGCTTTATATGACACAGGGGCGCCTAGACAAATACACCTAACTCAGGCGTATGATGTGTTAATGTGCATTCCACCAACTAGTGTGGAATGCGAAAGGGTATTTTCATCTACAAAATATATGCATAATCACCTTAGATGTAAGTTAAGCGATGATTCTATAGACGCGTTAAGTTTTCTTCGATCGTATTTTCAAAGAATTTGCAAATAATTACATGTTATTTTGCGCTGTGTCTATGCCTATTGTGATTTTATGAACCTGATTTATTAATAACTACACTCAGCAGCACGGAATTTGGCCCAAGCCTAAACAACCAGATTTGAGGCCAAATTGGTGTTGTATACCTAAGTTTCGTGTGACATGTTAACAGAACATTTGTTTTTGTTAATTTAAGAGGCTAGATTTCTAAAAAAATGCGTCTGTTTAACTTTTTTGACTCTAGAAACGCATTTCGTTGTTGGAGCGTAAAGAGTACGGGTAAGTTTAAATTCGATATTAAATGTTGTAAGGGTTTGGCGTTTGGTTTTTTGTTTTTAAATTAATCTTAGGGTTATTCTCGTTTCCATAATTTGAGAATAATGCCCATTACTCCAGCTCAAGTTGCTCAAATAGTGTTGCTTAGAAGTCAAGGGCGTATGCAGCGGGAGATGGCTGAAACTTTCAATTTATGGCGTACAAACTTAAGATACACGTTAAAAAGGAATGACCAAACCGCCTTTTACACAAGAAGATCAAGAAGTCAGGAATTAAGGTGTAAATCAGCGCGCGATGACCCGATTATCGTGCTTGCAATATCAAGAAATCGGGTTCTCACTACGTTTGAGATACGCCAGCGTTAACAAACAGCAAGCCCAGTGAATATCAGTGAGCACACAATAAGAAGAAGGATGGAGGATCATAACCTGCATACTCGAAGACCAGCTCGAGGACCAGAACTTCTCCGATACCTTGGCGAAGTGCGACTTACGTTTTCTAGAGAACATGCAAATTGGACGCAAGGCTAATGGAGTAAAGTTCTATGGATCGATGATTGCAGAGTCACCTTAAGAGCTCCAGACGGCCGTGGAAGTGTATAGAGAAGGTGCGGAGAAGAGTTACTACGCAAACAGACAGTTTTCATAAAGAGTTTACTCCATTAGTCTAACGTCCAATTTGCATGTTCTCTAGAAAACGTAAGTCGCACTTCGCGAAGGTATCGGAGAAGTTCTGGTCCTCGAGCTGGTCTTCGAGTATGCAGGTTATGATCCTCCATCCTTCTTCTTATTGTGTGCTCACTGATATTCACTGGGCTTGCTGTTTGTAAACGCTGGCGTATCTCAAACGTAGTGAGAACCCGATTTCTTGATATTGCAAGCACGATAATCGGGTCATCGCGCGCTGATTTACACCTTATTTCCTGACTTCTTGATCTTTTTGTGTAAAAGGCGGTCTGGTCATGACTTTTTAACGTGTATCTTAAGTTTGTACGCCATAAATTGAAAGTTTCAACCATCTCCCGCTGCATACGCCCTTGACTTCTAAGCAACACTATTTGAGCAACTTGAGCTGGAGTAATGGGCATTATTCTCAAATTATGGAAACGAGAATAACCCTAAGATTAATTTAAAAACAAAAAACCAAACGCCAAACCCTTACAACATTTAATATCGAATTTAAACTTACCCGTACTCTTTACGCTCCAACAACGAAATGCGTTTCTAGAGTCAAAAAAGTTAAACAGACGCATTTTTTTTATTAATCTAGCCTCTTAAATTAACAAAAACAAATGTTTTGTTAACATGTCACATAAAACTTAGGTATTCAACACCTATTTGGCCTCATATCTGGGTGTTTAGGCTTGGGCCAAATTCCGTGCCGCTGAGTGTATAATGAAAATTATACTACAATGTCTATAAAACACCTTTAAATTTTTGATACTTTTTGTTTTTATTATTAACTAAAGACTTTATTTGTTTGAGAACTTTATAATAATTTTGGTTAAAATGTTTTAATGTATAATTGTGAGATTTATAAGAACATTCTTTTCCTACTAGGTATGTTTAAGAATTTGATAATATTATTTTGATTTTAGAATAACACTGAGGCTGTATTGATTAAAGTTAAATGATGGTTTCTTTATTTAAGTAATGCATCGCATTTCTTAAATAAAGAAATTTAAGTTTTAGTTTACTTTTTGACATCATTGATTTGTTTATAAAAGAAGAAGACTTGTTAATTTGTATAAGAATTTAATAACTGTTTTTAATTTTGAACTATATTGTTACTATTAAAAATTAAGTTCCTAAAACAATAAAAACTGATAATTTAAGTACCTACTTTTTTATTTTTTGAAAATATTCGAATATTCGAATATCACTGAAAAAATATTCGAATATTCGAAACAGAAAACTAGCGAATATTTGCAACCCCTAGTCACGACTTAAACACTTTGAGGTCAAAAGTTTAGAAAACAGAAGAACCGCACTGGATTTACTGTTTCTATACAAAATTCTAAGCGGTAACATTGACTGTCCTGAATTGCTGTCGAAATTTAATTTTAGAATTCCCTTCAGATACCCAAGGAAACCTATAAACCTATTAAGTCCTCCTTTCCGAAAATCCGTGCTAGGTTCCAATTCCCCGGTTTCGAGACTCTGTAAGCTTCATAATAAATACTGCGACCAACTATCTCTATTTTGCACATCTATCCACAAAATTAAGCGTCAGATACATCAGTTAGAGTTTGCTTAATTTTCCATATCATAAAAAAAAAATTCACTATTAATTGTTGCATTAAAATTTACTTAGATACCTACACTCTTTAACAACTCACTTATGCATGTGGTGTTTACCTACTTATAGTTGTACACTTAGTCCTAATAATTGTATTTGATAAACTAAAATGTTTTTTTTTTTTTTTTTAGTTTATTTTGGAACAACAAACAATTACACTTATAAATTAAGTATAAACATGGACATAGAACACATACAGTGTGAGTCACGTTAAAGTGTACATATGAAAATAAATGAAACTAGACCTATTTTTATCGACAAAAAAGAGGTCAAAAAATTTTTGAGATTTTTTTTTAATTTTTTATAGAATTTTTTTCTTCCAATTACTTATTGTAAAGAAAACTTAATAACTTTTAAACTAAGAGGTATATCCTGATAAAATAAAAACATTAATAATGTTAAATAACAGGCGATACTAAAAAAATACATAAAATACACAAAAAAGGATAAGAAATAATAAAAAATGATACTTTTTGAAAAAAATCTGCTTTTAAATTCGTGTTTTTTTGGTTATTTGATAAATTTCTCCAAAAAATGCCCCTATAACAGGTGGTTTTTATTACTTTGTATTATTTTCTATCGTATTATCTTTGTAAAACCAAGAATCGCATGTCTCTANTATTTTCGTGTTTATTAACTCAATACTTTAAATCATAATTCATAAATTGTACCAGGAGATGCGGCTCCCAGGAATAAGAGAGAACAAACACCACGACTCGTGGGAGAATACAGAAACAGCGCGCAGCATAAGAATAGAAGATGCTCCTCCAAAAACTTGTAGAATTACTGTCTACTGCTAAGCTACTGTTTTTTTCTTTTCAGTGGTTTGCCTGAAGTCACGACGGTTTTCCTACTGCCTATATCCTACCTACTGAGAGGAAAGCTAGAAGGAAAAGTATTTACTTATTCTTAAATAATGTGTTTGAATCTAAACATTGCCATAGCACAATAGACTGAAAAGAAAATAAGACTTATAGAAGTGGTGGGCAAATAAACACCGCATGCATCACGCACGAGTAATATAATAATAGAAGATAAGTGTATTAGAAATTTAAAAAAACAATAGCAAAACTAAAAAGGAAAAATAGGTGTAGGTACAAGTGTAAGTGGAATTTGTTTCTATTTCAATTGCTTTCCCACAAAGATTCATGACATTTCATAATAATTTAGGAAATAAGTTGATGTTAATTATAATTCGTTCGTTTCAGCCACTACTGGACAAAGGCCTCCCCCAAAGATTTCCACAAAGACCGGTCCTGCGCCGCTCGCATCCAGGCACCTCCCGCGATCTTCACCAGATCGTCGGTCCACCTAGTGGGAGGCCTGCCCACGCCACGCCTTCCGGTTCGTGAATTATTATAGTACTGTAGGAATAACTTTCTCTTTTTTTCCCACTTTAACTTTTAAAACAAATTAAAAGATATTTTTCTTGACATTACTTAAGGTGCCTACTGCTACTTATGTTATAGACTATTATAGAGCAAGAAACAATTATATTATAGAACAAGAAATATTTGACTACATTTTACAGGTTTTTAAAGTGTTGGTATTGGAACCACAGAATGGAAAATTGGAACACTCCATGGAAATTGGTCCATTCTTCTTTTTAAAGTTATTTTGCTTAATTCAAGTTTTAACCAAAGATTTCTTATAAGCCTTATTATTAGTGATGGGCCGACTATGGTATTTGCCGACTAGCCGACTAGCCGACTAATCGGTTTTCAAATTGCCGATTAGTCGGCCGACTAATCGGCATTGCCGATCATTCCAATCGGAGGTGATCGGGCTTTATCGTCAATACTCGGCGTCATCGCGCGATCGCTGAAGAGCACATCATAACTTTTTTGTTTACCTACATTTCTATTTCGTTCAATTTGCGTTTGCTGCGGTTCCGGTATAATTAAATCTATTTAAAATAAGTGCAGTAGTGCTGTGTATAATATCACAAAATGTCGAAAAAGAAATCGCGCGTGTGGACATTCTTTGATGATATTGAAGGTGAATCGTCTAAAGTGAAATGTAACCAGTGCCAGGGAATTATTTCACGCGGCGGTCAAGGCAGAAAAGCAAACACGACAAGTATGACGAATCACATAAAATATAAGCACAGTGAGTTGATGCCTCAATTGGCGAGTTCTATTAAAAGTAGTTCAAATGAACCCCATTCATCTGTTGCTTCTGTATCCCAACTTGAGCCCTTACCACCATCGCCAAATCCATCTACTTCATCGGGAAGCGAAATAGCAAAACAACAAAGTATACGAGAAAGTTTAACGGTCCAGTGGTCACTTCAGGACTCCCGATCAAGAGAAATAAGTGTTGCAATAGGAGAAATGATTGCGTTAGATAACCAACCTCTGTCTTTAGTTGAAAACACTGGTTTTATCAATCTTATGAAGAAGCTCAAACCAAAATACGTTTTACCGAGTAGGAAATATTTGACAGAAAATATAATTCCCAACATGTCGGCCGTTTGGTGTAGTGGTTCAGAACGGACTACTATGCCGAGAGGTCCCGGGTTCAATTCCCGGCCGGGCAGAAATTGAAATGATGAATTTTAATTTCTGTGACGGGTCTGGGTGTTTTCTATGTATAATATGTATGTATTTACAAAAAAAAAAAAAAAGTATTTAAGTATGTTTATATCCGTCGTCTAGTACCCATAGTACAAGCTTTGCTTAGTTTGGGACTAGAGGCGCAGTGTAAAATGTCCAAGGATATTTATTTACATTTACGAGGAAACTAAAACTCAGATACGAAAAGGAGTGCTCAGTGCTGCTGCCCTTTCTGTAACTATAGATTTGTGGACAAACACAAATAATATGGCAAGTTTTTTGAGCTTTACAGCACACTGGTTGGACGACGACATGAAATTTTGTCACGCAGTACTTCGGATGAAACATTTTCCCGTAAGTCACAACTCTGATAATATTAAAGCGTGTATCGAAGAAATTCCCGCTTCATGGGATATAACACCAGATAAAATACATGCTGTTGTGCGAGATAATGGAAGGAACGTTGCAAAGGCTATTGACGAGTCTCTTTTTAAAGCAGTTCCTTGTTTTATTCATACGATGCAGTTAGCAATCTGCGATTCACTAAAAATTGACAATATAGCAAAAATTCTTACAAAATCGCGGCGCATAGTTACACATTTTAACCACTCAGCGCCAGCTCAAAAAAAACTACGTGCCATTCAAGAAGAACTAAATTTACCATCACACGAGCTAGTGCAAGATATTTCTACTAGGTGGAACTCTTCTTATTATATGCTGTCTCGCCTTTTTGAGCAAAAACGATCGATTTCTTTGTACATGGCAGAAAATACAGTAAATTTTGATAATCTATCGACAGGGGAGTGGAAGTTACTTGAAAAATGCCTTACATTACTCAAACCGTTCGAAGAGGTGACAAAGATAATTAGTTCCAGTTGCTCATCAATATCAGAAGTTATTCCTCACCTTAAAACACTGCAAAAATATCTGGAGAACTACGTAGACGATGACCAAGACGAGCAATTAATAGAAATGAAGACTGTATTGGAAAACGGCTTAAAAACTAGGTTTCAAAACTTGGAACTGAACAAATTATTTTCACTTGCAACTTTGCTTGATCCAAGGTACAAATTACAATTTTTTAATACTGAACATCTGGTAACAGTAAGATCACAGTTTTTGATGGAAGCGTTAAAGAACAGTTTGGGTGACGATGATGACAGCGATTTAAGTAACGACGAGAGAAATACCGATAACACTGGCAGCTCCGAAATGACAGTTCATCGCAACTTTTGGGGGGTTTACCAAGAAATGGTAACGCGAAAAGTGCACAATATTGACGACGAGAAATCTAGTTCAGCTCACGAACTTCACTCTTACTGCGCATTGCCTGTCATGAAACGCAATGAAGACCCATTTACGTGGTGGCACCAGAACAGTTCGAGATATCCTGAAATGTCTCGTATCGCCAAAATATACCTTTGTTGTCCCGCCAGCACTGTTTACAGCGAACGTCTTTTCTCGGAAGCTGGCAACATCTACGAGACGAAAAGAAATCGTCTACTCCCTGATCGAGCCGAAACATTAACATTCCTGCACCACAACTTGCCTTTAATTAAAAATAAAAATATTTAAGGATTTTTATCACTAAACATAGGTGTTAATACTCGTAAATACTTACTTACCATTGCCATGTTATTTGATTATGTATGTGCCATAATATTTCGTTAATTAATTATGTTAAGTTAGCTTCATATGTTACAAGACTGTAACTCTAGATATATATATTAATTACTTTTTTAATATTAAACATAAGTCAGATTCTGACTTGATGAATACTTACTTTCCATTGCCATGTTATTTGATTATGTATGTGCCATTATATTTCGTTAATGAATGATGTTAAGTTAGCTTCATTACTGACTGATTAATAAGTTTATTTAATGTTACCTTATTGGTTTTTGAATACTTAGTTATGTTTCAAGACTAGATAATACTAATTTTTTTAACATTAAACATCAGAATGTTTAATGTTAAAAAAATCAGATTCTGACTTAGTGAGTACTTATTTTCTATTGCCATACTATTAAGTTATTTATGTGCAATATTTAGTTGATTATTGATGTTAAGTTAGCTTAATTATTTACTGATTAATACGTTACTAATTACTATTTTGTACTATGTAACTTTAGATATCTACTTTAAGTAGGTAATATTTAGAAATAATAAAGCAAACTAAATACAAAATGTGTTTTGTTTTATTTGTTATGCGCCGATTATAATCGGCATATTTTGCCGAATAGTCGTCACTAGTCGGCCGACTACAAATGATGCCGAATAGTCGGCTTTCCCGACTAGTCGGCGACTAGTCGGCCCATCTCTACTTATTATTTCTAAGTAAGCTACTGTAAGTACTAGACCTGTGTTGGATACTAATTTTGTATTCTTATCTTTAATAGGTATATGATACAACAGTACTTAAATTTTTGGCTATCAATACAACTGTAGCCAGTTGTTGAGAAAACACGAAAAAATGATGTAAGGTAAACAGATTTTTTTAACAAGTTTCATGGCTATTTTACCTCCAAGGTAACATCAATGCCAGCTTTAAACATTGAAGTAATATTATTACGTATAGAACAGACATCGCGAACAAAATATGTACAGAGCGGGGTGCGGGGCGGGAATTTGACGGACAGCTGTCAGTCAAATCCATGACTATCAAGTTTCATAATTTATGGCGATAAAATCTGCACCAGAAAATGTCATACTTCATTGATAGGATTGCACGACTAGTGACGTTCCTGCGGTCGCCTCATCATAGACATTGTGAATCGATTGTGAAAATAAACAAATCGGCTAAATTGTGTTATATTTTCATGGTGCTCAATAGCAAAAAGGTTCAGCTACTTACATTATTTTCTTTTATTATATTGTGCGTTTCCTGTAATGTAATCTAAGCTCCCCTCCCTTAGACTAAAATTAGCCCTCCTAGACAAGTGACAAAACGTAGCAGTTGAAACATTCGAAATCACTTCGCTCTGCCGTTTTTTGGTGTTAGTTACTTCACTCTGTGATGCGATTTTAAAATTACAACTGGCGATTCCGAATTATAATCAATGTGCTTTTCTCAAACATGATCTTTCTAACTCTGATATCGTAATAGAAAACGGGGTGTTATTGACCAGAGCTACCCAAATGCATGTGATAGCCAAATATGAAATCACTTTTAGCAAATCAGAATCAGATAATACCGTAAATTGTAATCCTAACTTGACGAATGAGCAGCGTATGACACTTGAGACAACTTTAGTGGAATATGGAGATTGCTTTTCGAGTAGCGTCCAGGACCTAGGTTACACTAAAAGTAGACTCAAAACCAGTCCTTTATTGGCCATAAAGTATGTCCCATTCTGAAAGGTCACTAGTTCGGAATATGATTCAAGTAATGGTAGATAGCAGTATAGTTTTTTTTTTTATTTTTTATCCACAACGAGGAAGCTCTTGGCCTGCATCTCACCTGATGGTAAGTGATGATCAGGCCGAAGGTGGAAGCGAGCTTCACTCGGAATCCTCAACCACAGAGGAACTGGCTATCTTACCTCTAACTGCCGGAACACAACAATGCTGTTAACATTGTTGTTATGGCGACAGATTTAGGTAAGATGGTGGTAGCTAGCCAGGCGGACTTGGAACAAGCCCTACCACCAACCAAACCGAACAGAAAATTCTGCCCCCAGTTAAGGAATCGGCAACAACCTACGCGAGCTCGATCGTTCTAGTAAAAAAAAAAAGTATCTAGTATCAGGACTTACATGCGGGTAATACTCTTTTCATATCTTTGGATCTCGCGTCGGGTTACTACCTCAAGTATGCTCTAGTCTAGATGAACGACATACTTATACCATGTAAAAGCTTTGATGAAGGGTTGACGCGACTTCGAGAGTTTCTTGATTTATTAAGAAATGACGGACTTACGTTAAAATCGAACAAATGCAACTTTACCTTCGTAAATATTGACTTTCCTGGTTTAGAAGTTAACGCAAATGGGATACGTCCGGGGTTCCAAAAAGAGTAAATCTGTCTCCAATTTTCCTAAGACCATCGAATCAAGACGAACTGCGTCAATTCTTAGATCTTTCGGGGTTATTAAAGATTATGCTTTGATAGCATCACGTCATGTAACTAACTTGTTGAAGAAGGATATTTGATAGGTGTGGGGGGAATCTCAGGAACAATAATTTCAAATCATAAAAGATTTTCTATCAGAACGATCATTACTTGCCTTGTATGATCCTAAGCTTGTAACTCAGCTCCATACAGATGCCGGCAAAAATGGCTTCGCTGGTATCCTCCTTCAGCGTAATAGCAACGGTATTATACAACCTATATCCTAATTCAGCCGAAAAATGACATCGGAAGAAAAAAAAAACATTTGAATTTGAAACACTCGCGGTTGTTGCATTGTTACAAAAATCCCGTGTGTATCATAAATCATAGATCCCAGGGTCATTGAGGATACTATTAACGTCATATCTCCAGATGAACTGAAATCGGTCAGAGAGGAAATAAATAAACGCGTTGAAGCACAACAGCTAAAAGACGCTGAGCGGAATAATAAGCATAGGAAATATGAAATAGGCGATCTGGTTCGAATAGAAAGGCAAATACCGCATGATGGACAGTCGTAGAAGTTGGTTGTCAAATACTAAGGGCCTTATTGCATTACTAAGGTTCTTGGGCATGATGGATTCGTGGTTATGAGGGCGTAGCGGCCATTTACAAAATTCAACCTTGGATGAGTTTTGATCGAAATTTTGACAGTTGTACAAGTGATGGGGATGATGACGATGATGACAATAATAGTATAGATAATGATAGCAATTGTAGAATAGAATGAAAAATGTTAAATTTCTGATACCACACGCATAGCTAATAATTTGCTAAACTAATGAAATAAATTACTCAAACGACATGATTTGTAATACAAAAAAAAGATAATATTTATACATTGTACATTTTTATATGCAAAGAGGCAGATATATTATTCTTTAAGTACGCATGAAATTGTAAACAATATTAATAAGTAATATTAATGAGTAATATGAATGGATTACAGTATAGTATAGTTAATAGTTATGTTATAGTTACCTATATAGTGATATTATTATACAAAACTTTATAGAATGGATGGATAGTAAAATAAGGAATATAATGTTGCACATTAATTTCAATTGTGTAAAATCGAGTTATGATTAGGTACTTAATGTAGAATACTCGTTCTAGTGTTTTTTTTAGTGTTTATTTCTTCTTGAGTAACGCGATGGGACTCGCGCATTACAGGATGGCCGAGCTGTTAGGTTATACATAATTATAATATACTTGAGTTAGACTGTCTAATAATATTATTAATGTTTTCTAAGCAATAACTTTCAGTGTCCATTTAATTGTCTCATTATGATAATTTTACACTGCACTTCCGGTTTGTGATCTCATGTTGTGATTTGTAGTCTTGTATAAATTAAAATCAAAACAGTAAAATGTTAATATCAATTTTATTTAAAATAATGATTTATTACAATATTTTTAGAACATTGTTATAATAAGAAATAATTTATAACAAAATGCGCCGGGGTTTCCGCTTCCGATCACACTGTAGCGAAAACCACGTTAGCATTTTTGTGGCCAATGGCGGGCAGTCGATGGTGAACTATCGTGTCGAACGGACTATTCTGCCGAAATGTAATTGTGTAATACTGATGAGTAATATTGTTGTACAAGTTATTCAATAAATACTATGAAAAGTATCAACCAGCGTTTGAACTTAAAAGGAGGATAAAAGTAGCAAATCCAACGGTATTAATAATTACCAATGTACATTAGAGCATAGTAGAGGTGGATGTAGTGGGTTTGGTGCTTAACGTCAATTTCGCATAAATTAGTATCCCATTAGACAATGACCTACTTCAGTACGACCATTTATAGGCTACTTTGAGAAGGACATTATGAGTAGGTAGCAGTTTATTGCAAAGTAACATCTTATTTTAGGAGGATTATAGTCAATTTCAATCTCTTTTTTTGTTTTGTTTGTTGATCTAAGCCAAAAGGCTAAAAATTACATCTGAAGCTGGTAGTTTGTATTTTTTTAATTGTTCCAAATAAACGTTTCATTTATGAGAGACCCAGCAACAAAACAAATATGTTTAGTTGTGTGACTCTTAACAGATATACTTAAAAAAATCCTAGTAGAATTTTTACACTAGTGGTGACTGAGTTTGTTCCGGCGTTTCTTCTCAGCACTTGCCATATGTTTGTCTCGAAGCGCTGGTAGGGCCCAAAAGATAGAGAGACATGTAAAGTGCCCCATAAGGGCTACCTTTTTTATATTTACTATATTTTGACGTTCATAAGTGCCACTAGTAGCGGTCTAAATTGAATAAAATATTTTTGATTTGATATTTTTCAAAGCAACACTACTGAACTAACTTCTACTATCATATAACTGACCACAACCCCCGGATATGCGATAAGCCACATTTATAGTTTATGTTTAGTAGAGGAAATGGCGTTGCGCTTAAATAATAAACATAATTCTAGTGGATATGGGCCCTCGTGTTACTTAGTTTTAGTATGTG